ATCAAACCGCCCACTACGAAGGCGATCCAGGACGCCGTGATAACCCACGACTTGTCGTCGAAGACGTGCTCAACGACCATTGCGACTGCTACGCCGCCGGCCACGAAGCCGACAGCGAAGAGCGTCGCTCGGAAGAGACGATAGCCCATGGCCACCATTACGGCGCCGACTGCAATCGCAGCGATGGCCAGAACACTCCCACCGACCTTGATGCCGTCCGTGGAGTCGAAGAGAGACTCGACCGTGTCGCTGGCCGAGTCTGTAGCGTTAGCCAGCATGGACAATTGGCTCACCATGAGCAGGAAGAACGTCGACATGGCAGTCGACATGGTTCTGAGTATTTGTGTAACGTGTGGGAAGAGGCTTATTCACGTGAGGGTGAATTGAAAAATGATAAGAGTCGAAGGTGGCGGTACGTTTGGCTCGTTTCAGTAGCTGAGACGATGGGTAATTTTTACTGTTGGACACTGCGGTTTTAACACATCAGAGCAAAATGGATTTTCAAGATCATTTCTGAAAAAAAAAATGTAGGTTCACTTTTCTGAGTGGATACCGTAGTGCGGTGCCAATGTATGCGAGCCCTTCCCATCATGCTGCCATTCCATCAATCCACTGCGCGCCAGGTGGTTTGGCATGCACTGTTCAAACATGTAGGACACAGCTATTTTCTAGGTGACCATGGCCAAAAGAGAGAGCTCTGGTGGATTCGTGCATGGCCGCGGTCACTATGCGATACAGCACGACGGTCTACGAACTCAGCGTACGTCATCGGAGCGCCGGACGACTCGAGCCTCAAATGTGTCCTTGATCTCGTTGGAATCGTCGGCTGAATATTTCCATGCGTACATTTGCAATGCCAAGTTTTTTGACGAATACTTAAAGTCGTACTTGAGGTTCCTATTTTGCTAACGTCAGTTGTATTGTAAACGTCAACTTTCCCCGATGAAGAGCGTTATCATTGAGCTACCCCCAGAATTTGCCAGACTCTAGAGGAGGGGGGAGTCAGACTGTCTAACACTGCAAGTGTCCGAAAATATGGTGGACAAGTTGCATCACCCATGCTACCTTTATGATATGTCACAAAGTTACAAATTATGCTACTTTTCTTTTTTTTGGCATAATTGGACAACGTAGTTATGGAAGAAATACATTTACGAAGCATTGTACGCTATGGCACTGCAGAGTTCTGGCTTATACGGATCCTTCAAACTTGCCTTCCGTCTCTCCATCATGCTCGTCCTTATCCTCAACATCTTCCTTCACAAGCGCACCGCTCTCCAGTGTATCGTCTTCCGAGGCCTCCTCGTCCGCACTGGCCTCGGCAGCCATAGCCACAGCAGCTTCATCCTCGTCGGTCGAGTCGCTGGCACTTCGACTACGGACCTTACGGACAACAACGGCAAACGCCACAGCGACGATACCAACGAAGCCACCGACTGCTGCACCGAACTCAATGAAGTGGTTGGACGTCTCCTCGGCCTCTTCGGCGTTCTCACTAGCCAGAGCCACACTCTCGTCCTTCACCTGCTGCTGCTCCACAGTCACAGTGTCTCCAAGAGAACCAGAGCCAGAGCACGACTCGCTGCCGTTCACGTAGTCCACGACGTTATCAATTGCGTTCTGTGCAGCGCTCTTGGCACTGTCATAAGCATCCTCCGTCGCGCTCTTAGCGCTGTCATAGGCATCCTCAGTAGCGTTCTTTGCGTGTTCGTAAGCGTCCTTCGTGCCGTTCTTCACGTGCTCAACGGCATCGTCCACAGCACTGGAAACGGAGTCCACAGCGTCATCGACCCAGTTCTTCTTCTTCTTTTTCTTGTCCGTCACTTCATCATCGTACGAGTCATAGGACTCCTCGTTTTCATCCAAGTCGTGCACATCCACCCACTCCGCGTTGGAACCCGAGGCTGAGTCTGAGTCTGAGCCGTTGAAGAAGTCTTTGATGTCATGGTAAGCGTCCTTCGTACCGTTCTTGACGTGCTCGTACGCGTCTTTCGTGCCGTTCTTTACGTGTTCATAGGCATCCTCCGTGGCGTTGGCCACCTGGTCGATAGCGTCGCTGAACCAGCCCTTGTGGTGCTTCTTATGCTTGTGCTTAGCTTCCTGCTCCTCGCTTTCACTGCCTTCATCCGAGTCGCTCTCACTGCCTTCGTCTTCTTCGCTGTCACTGCCTTCCTCCTGTTCTACATCGTCGCTACCGTCGTCAGAGTAACTCTCGCTTTCTTCTTCCTCCTCTTCGTCTTCAAACTCCACGGAGCCATCAAATGATCCTGACGCGGAGTCCTCAAACTCCACAGAGCCGTCGAACGAG